TTCTTTTTTTTAAAAAAAAAAAAAAAAAAAAGGTGGGGAAAATGCTGAGACAGGCACTGCTTCTTACCAGGTCTCCAACTGAACCAACAGAGGCCTGACCATGAACACTGGGATGAAACTGGAGTTTTTGTATGATTAAGCTGGGAGGGAGGGATTCTCCTCTTCATAGACTCAGGTGTCTCTTCCCCTGATCAGCCAAATATCCACAGAGCTGCAGACCCGGTGGGGAGCCATGCTTCTTTTGCAGGCCTGCGGTCATCACCTCTCTTCTAACATAGCTTGGTGCTTCAGAATAACAGCAGTTTCTTCTGAAAGCTATTTAACTCTGCTCTGCATACCAGAAAAATCTTACCCGCTAGATGTGGAAATCCTGCATTCACCAGATCTTCAAATATATGTTTGACTGGATTTTGATGAGCCAGCAACACTCCGTGTAACCAGATAAGCAGCATTCGGTGTCCATGTTCCTTATAGCTCTTTTTTCCTAAGCCATACACAAAATACATATCTGTGCAACAGGCAGGAGGCAAAATACCCTGATGTCACATTTGCTTTACAAATAGGGATTTTCCTTTAAAAACCACTTTCAGGCATTCACTTTTTCATTTGCTTTCTAACCTAGAAACTAAGACTTCCAAAGGTGAAATGGTAGTTTTACCCCAAAGCTGGTCGAAAAAAATCAGGATTTAATGAATCCAAAATTGAATTTGTTCCTTTCGTGTTTAACTTGTGGAAAGGCATCGTAGGGCAAGTAACAAAAGTGAAATACATGGAAATGCTGAGCTCTCAAAGCTAACTGCAATCACTCATCCCTAAAGCTGGCAAGAATTCCTGAGGATTATGAAGCAAGTGCGAGATGTTAATCTGAAGTGTGTTTGTACTTCACAATTTTTTAAATCACAAAGAAAATAATGCTGACTTGACTCAAGTGAAATGTCACTGTTTGACCAGGGGAAAATACATACTCGTGACTTCCCCATAAGTTAAGTGGCCTAATCAAGACACAAGGAATCAGAACTTGTGGCAGAGGTGATATATTTTATTAGACCAACTAGATATTTTCAAAAAAAAAAAACTTTATTTGCAAGCTTTCGGGCACAGGCACCTTTCTTCAGGTATAGGAGAGTGCAAAGATTGTAAAATTTCTCCTAGGTGGAAATGAAAATTCTGTGCCCAAAAGCTTGCAAATAAAGATTTTTTTGCACCTATCTAGTTAGATTAATAAAAGATATCACCTTTACCATGAGTTCTGATTCTTTTTGCCTCTAAACCAAAACGGCTACAACATGGATACCTAATCAAGACACAATATTTTGATCTAATCTATTTATGTCCTACCTGTATACATTGAGTGCCTATCATTACCTGTCCACTGTTCTTCAATAGCTTTAATTTGCTCATCTGTGAACTGCCAGAACAGGGCCAGCTTTTTCCATTCCTGCGGTTTTAACTGATTGTAAGCCAGATTCCAGAGGGAGGAACGGATTTGCTTGGTCTGCATGCTGTGGTCTTGCTTAAAGGACAGAAGAAAATCTGATGATTCCTCAGTACTTCCAAGATGCTCCTATAAAATAAAAACCAAGTTTCAGATAAACTGCACTAGGTAATTTTCTTATTATTAACATAAGAACATAAGAATTGCCATTGACTGGGTCAGACAGTATCCCCCGTCGTATCTTGGGTCACACAGGCAGGCAGATATTGAAAGGGACAGTGAACTGGGTATGACCAGGGCTTTTTCACTGTTCCCCTGTTACTTGTAGCCTCCAGCATTTAAGGTCTAGGAAGTTCTGATTCAGAGGCTGTATCTTTAACTCCTACACTCAATAGCTACTGAGGTATAGGTTGTAGCCATGTTGGTCTCAGGACACAGGCAGACAGGTTCTTTGGGTAAATATGACATCTTTTATTAGACAAACTTAAATAGTTGGAAAAGTTATAGCAAGCATTCAGGTTTAAAAACGCTTCATTAGGCTGAGGAAGTCTCTGCAGATGGTGTGTGCTCTTCCTGCATGGAATGAATAGTAAAGAAGCCAGAGGCTGGGCTGGTATGAATGTAAGACAGGCAGTCAGTGAAGATGTAAATTGAGGAGTCAGTGGGTGAGAGACAGGCTGAGTTGAGGGGAAGAGGGGGTTGAATGTAGCAGTTAGATAGTGGAGAGGTACCTGATGCTGCTTTCCAACAAATTCCAAGAATTTATCCAATTCCTTTTTGACAAAGCCACAGTAAGCACTAGCCTGGTATACATACCAGAGACCTCCCAAAAAAAGTTACCTTTGCTGCCTAGAGAAACTGCAAATTATTTAACCAAGTTAATGCTGTAGAGTGGACAGGAACAAGGGCACCTAGTAGCTATATACATTACTAAATTTTGTTAAAATTAAAAGTTGTTTTCTCTAGCAATTGCTAGATGGTTAATCCCCTACCATATGTTGGCCTGCATTTTACTCAAAAGATCATGTTTAAATATGGTTGTGGTAAAAATCACAATCCTTTTTTCCTGGTTAGAAGCAGGAGAAAACACATGCAGTTATCTAAAATTTCCCACTGTTGCTACCAGCAGCTCAGATTCATTGGGGAGGGCACTTGTTAGACAATGCAGCAGTGACTTAACTACAGCGTGGCATTCACCATTTCTGAGCTGCCAAATGATGATGTTAGAACAAAGTAAAGTCCCTTTGAGCCCTGACTGCATGGCTAGTCCTGGATTAGGACCAGGATCAGGGCAGCGACAAACTAAAGTTAAAATCCTGACCGCATGAAGTCTGAGTCCTGGATCTTTAGACACATAGTAAGGCCCCAGTTCAGCAAAACATCTAAGCATGTGCTTATACCCATGATGAGTAGAAATGATAAGCAGGTGCTTAAATCCATCAAATCATAGCTTATTTTTATTCGTCACACTAGCAAAAATATTTAATGTGATTTAGCCATAACCATATTACTCTATCAGCATATGTGGTGACCTTTGAAATGTAGGGGCCTGTCTGGATGTATTTTCATACCAAATCCTGTAGCTGTGCTTCACCCCAGCTGCAGTGGCATCTGTGGCGAGTTATAACTATGCTGTTTCCTCATGTAGAGCCTCTTCTCTAATATTCATTTTTGATGGTATTTGTTTACAGAATAGACGTATTTCACTCAGCCTCTAAAACTAAAACTCTGAGCTGCTGCAGTGATACAGGATGCGTATTTTAAACTACAGAACAGTTGGCCAGGAAGGTAGGTATTAGCATCCCACACTTCAGAAACAGTAAGCAAAAAGCCTTCATTCAAATAAACCCAGAGACCTGCAAATGTGTTGCTTACTCCAAAAGCACCTTCCCTAAAAACTATCATGGTTCAGTAATGCAACTTCACTATGCACATTATAAAACATTCCTCCAAGGCAGATTTCATTGCCTGCAGTTTAAAGTAAGGTTTAGAAACCTACGTCATTCTAATTTACTCAGAACTGTTATTCTGTAATAATGGTTCAAATGTTCCAGAATTCAGAACATTGAAACTACGTTTTGTTTACTTCCTAGCAGCTTATGTTCCATAGCGGTAACACTGATGCTGGTCCAAGGACTGTGTCCACCTGTACTGAGATATTTAGCTACAGGTAATGGGGTAAAAGTGCTTGGTTTTCATTTCCCAACATCTCTTAAACTGTTCCAAAACCCCATCAGCTTAAACATCTTTTCTTTCCCTCAGGCAGCTAAGTAAAGCATAGCAAAATGGTAGGAGTATGACCTGCTACTATCAGAGTTGTCATATTTTCTCCAGGAATAAATGGTTTCACCTCCAACTGCCCTCTAAGATGAAAGGAACAATAATATATGTGGCGACTCTGCCTGAACCATCTCAGATCAGATGCACACAAGCTGCACCGTTCATGGACATGTTTTTCACTAGAATATAATTTAAAATTCTTACTTACCTTCCTGAGTTTCCTACAAAATTGAATTTTAAAGAATGAAAGAAGGCTGAAAGGGCCCATCATTTAGTCCATCTCCCTGCACTGAGGAAATCTCTCCCATGTCTCCTGGTGGATGTTTGGCTAACCCAGGCATGCACTCATATGGATCACTATAGTGACCCCAATGGTCCTCAGCACTCTTTATTAAATGAAAAAGGATTTGAAAAGCAAATCAGCTGGCCATGTGTCCTCAATACATGGCAATTCAGTTAATCTGCCCGTATATCTGCACGTGCAGGCCCCCTGCCAATGTGCTTCAATCCAGTCAGAGTAGATCCCACTGGTGGCAGCTCTCCATTGGAAAGTGTCCCCTGCAAGTGGCCCTCAGAGTTGTGCACCCCTGTTCTTGAAAACTGCTAATATCAGGAAGTTGGAAGAAGAGACAAGGTATTTATTTCTTTAGTAGCTGAACCAGGATAGGCAGAAATATGACAGTGACATGATTTCAGAGCTGTCCTTAAATAGATCAGCTGAATTCCTTTCTGCATCTGTACTTCCAAAAAACCAGAAAGAACCAGGGAAGCTTACAAAAGGGTGGATGTCCCTGTGGTATATGATAGGGTGTGCGTATTGGGAGTGCATCATGAAGTGAAGTAGGTTTACTTTAGATGCATTACATCTATAAAAGTTTCAGTTCCTCTTGAGTTCTGTGGAGGTCCCTACCCACTTTGTGTATTGTGGAGGAGCCCCTGCACCTCCACAATATTCCCCGTAACTTATCACCTGTGAGTCATTCCTTTGGTCTCTGTGCACTGTAGTGTATCCTCTGCTCTTAAAGAGTGGTTTGTAGGTCCAGTTGCTGTTCCAGACTCTATATCCCCATGTGCTTCAGTGTAAGTAATTTTTCTGAGCTTCCTACTTTCCCATATTTACCCCCACAGGGAACTAGCATGGAAAGTCAGCTTCTCAGGAACAAGAAAATTAAAAAATGGCAGAGGAGTCCAGCCTACAAATGGCTGAATTGTTCCCAAAATGTCCCTTTCTCCTCCTCCCTCTCCCATGGTAGGCAAGGGGAAATGCCTCATTGGATAAGAGATGCCAAATTGTAAGAAGGCTTGTCAGTGGAGGAGAGCAAGACAGGTGTGTTAACTGACCTGCATCTCAATAATACTTGTTATTTTTGAATTGGGATTTTTTTCACAGGGAAGCGGACTGGGGCCAGGGGAAGAGCATTAATTTTCAGAGCGGCTGGAACAAAACATCAGCTAGAACCAATTCCAGCTCAGGCACTGAGTACCTCAGAAATTCCCTGTTGGCTTAAACAGAGCACCATGCTGCTGAATTTACTGGCACTGCACCTGTGTACCTCAAGTGATGCACAAGTAAAAATCTTCTGCTGGCTGCTTGATTATTACAGAAGAAGTAGAAAATTTGCTCTGTCAAACAGGAGTCACTAGTATCAGCCTGACAGTAAATTTCCTTTGTGAATTCCAGGTAGTTTGGGGCTTTTACAACTGCAATGCATATCCAAAATCTTTACCAAGTTCACTGAGGTTCTCATATATGACTATGACTTCACCTGGAAAAATGACGTGGCCATTTGAACATGATTTCAACCTTTTCCAATGTGTGTGTTTTAACAGTGGGTTCTTCATGCCTTCTCCATACCAAGAGAGTCAGTGAGATACATAATAAAACTAACATAGGATTATAAATGATTTCAGCAACAACCCAGAGACCTGAGCAGCCCTGTACTCAGGAGCTCCACTTCTACATTACAGATGGATCTGAGTTAGAAACCCATCCCCAAACACCCCTTTTTCAGAAGGGTAGAGACACTAAAGCCTAAAGCCAAAGGTTGCTGTCTGGGCCTCTCTCTGTAACACAGATACACAGAATAGTTGACTCTGTATAGTAACCAAAAGCCTTAGCAGCCATCCTCTTTTTGGTGCAGGATACAGATATGAGAACTTCCTATTTCATAACTACACAAGGACAGTCACAACAAAGCAGCTCATGTTAAAAGCTAAATGATAAGTTAGGGTGGAAGAACATGTTACAAAATGGAAAGTCATACTGAGCATGCCCTTACTTCAGAGTCCTTCTTCCCTCCCTTCCCTGATCTCTTTGTTGTGTTCAATTATTAAGGTAAATTTAATGGAATGGGAACTTTTGCCTGATCCAGCCAAGGATGAGAGGATGATCTCAGGCTGATTTCAGCAGAAAAGGGACTCTCACACTCCCTGTGATTAAAACTCTGACTTTGCTGTAGCAAAAGGGCAGAAGGGTCAGCCAGGATCTGACACATTTCCATGCAAGGATGAATTACACACCCGGGAGTTCATGGCATAAACTGGACATTGTTTCCCTCCATTAGCTCCAGGTTTAGTGCCTGGAGTAGCAAAGTGAAGTTAATTAATTTGCCTATGGCTTTGCAACACCTCAGTTGGTACTCAGGACTTCCTGATCTCCAACCCTATGCTTGTTTCTCAAAGAACTCCTTGTAACCAGCAAGGAGGAAACCAGCTGAGATAGAAGGGGTTTTAAATCAGGCTAGAATCCAGTTTTCCAGCTACAGTCCCCCTGGGTGAGGTAGACCTGTTTCTTACCTGTTTTCTGGTGTAAAACCTTTCAGCTTTAATGACCATATCTACAATAAGGGCATGGTTGCTTCTGGATGCCACAGCCAGTGCAGTTTTTCCTTGCTGCAAGAATAGACAATGAATCTCAGAATGATGGCCAGCCAACAGAAGACAGGCACACCTCTTTGTCCATGGAGCCCTATCATTTACATTTTCAAAAGAACATGTTTCCACCATGATTTGATGGCTTCAGTTCACTTGATGGCTTCAGTTCACTGCCACTTGACGGATGGGATATTTTAGATTTCAGGGGGTTGATAAGGCAGAGATCAGAATATGTTATGGACCTGATGCAATGCTCACCTCTCCTGTCTTAAGACACTGGGCTACTTGATAAAGTGGGGCAGATCTGCTGCAGACTAAAAGCACGCAGGCTAATAGGAGGTAATAATTAATGTTTACTACAGCTACACAAACAGATTAGGAAATACAACTTTAATTCTGGCCAGAAAACACTGTTTAATCTATCTGGGTCCATCTCTGCTACTGCCAGTTGAAGGCTGAGAGAATGTTTTGATGACTTTACTGGTTTATTTTCCCTGTCCTTTTCTGTGGGTGAAGTTGCACCAAGCACAGCTGCCTTAGACACGAATATTCTGGATATTTTCCACATATTAACATTAGGGGTTGAAAGATATCAACCTCTAATTAGAAGACTCAGTGATTAAATTACAAGGCACTTTAACTCTCCAGCTATTCTACAGTTACCTAATAGATACCTTTGGCACTCTGGTTCCCAATTCCATTCAAAATCATAATTAGCCCATTTTTACAGAGTCACATTGAGAGCCAAGGAATTTACAGCTTGCAAAAGCCTCATCACATGGACAGATCATGCTGCATTAAAGGAAAAAACAAGGGCCTGTAGGAGCTTCTAGAAGCCTACATTTGCCAAGTCATTCTCCATTCATTGGGGGATAGCTTTGCCTTCCTTAGTAATGGCATTTTATTAGCGTACCTATGAGTGTAATCAACAAGTTACCCAATATCCTGACTAAGGGGGGGCTCTTTCTGGTCTGCCTGAATGCACGATAAACAAAGAAGAATTTCAAAGAGAATGGAAGAGGAAAGGTCAACTGGAGTATCCCATGCTTCCTACAAAGAAACAATAGGCACCTAAGAACACTTCCTGTGTTCCTGTCACCTCCTCTTCAGCTCTTACCAGATAGAGAAGAAATACTTAAATCTCAGGATGTGGGAGGGGACAGTGACAATCCAAGCCAGCTTCGTTTGAATGGGGATAGCATAGAAACAGTGCTGACACCCCATCCAATCCAGACCCATTGGGCGCGTCTACATGAGATGCTTTAACACACAGTTGACTAATTGCACAGTAAAGCATCACTGTCTACATGTGCTGATACTTCTTGCACAGTCAATTGAGTCAACATCTTCATCAGTGACTTGGATGAGGGGGTAAAAAGCACCCTGTTCAAATTTGCTGATGACCCTAAGATGTGGGGGGATGTGGGCATACTAGAAGAAAGGAATAGGCTACAGTCAGACCTAGACAGGTTACAGGGGTGGGCAGATGAGAACAGGATGGGATTCAACACTGACAAGTGCAAGGTACTACATCTGGGGAGGAAGAACCAGCAGCATACCTACAGGCTGGGGAACTCCCTTCTTGTCAGTACAGAGGCAGAAAAGGATCTTCGAGTCATCATTGATGCCAAGATGAATATGGGCAGCCAGTGTGGGGATGCAG